AGTCGGACGCTTAACCGACTGCACCACCCAGGCGCCCCTGAACTTTGTTCTTTCAATACCAGATTCAAATGTGTCATTGGAGAAGTGAGCACCCAGAATTGGCCAAGCAATGAGACATACCAGCCCCTTCCTTCCTCCACCTTTCCTAATTGTCAGCCCAGTTCTCTTTAGAAAGTCATCCAACAGCCACTGCCAAGGAGCTCTTTCTTTCCATCCCTTTGCTGTGCTCTCCACCTCTCCTCCCCTCGGGGGCTGCTCTGGTCCTTTCCCAGGCTTCAGCCTCACCTGCAGGAGCAGATCCCTTAAGCGCTGCAGCTGAGACTCTAGTTGCTTGTTGTGGTCCTCAAGGATCTGCATGCGTGTCTCCAGGCGGCTCTTGTGCTGCCGAAGGATCCGGGCCTCAGCCAGAAGCTCCTCATTGTGGTGGTCCTGTGCTACCTCAGCAGAGCCCTCAGCCAGGGTGGGGGCCTCAGCAGCCTCCTCATGCTGCCACTTCAGGCGCCTCAGCTCTCCCTGGAGAATCCTGCCAAGGACAGAGGAGTTAAGACCTATGGCCCTAACAAAGTATTGACTGTCCAGGTCCCAGATGTCTGCTCATACCTCAGTGTGAGCAACCCCTTTGCTCTCTCACCCCCACCCCCACCCTAGCTGTGTTCTTGGTTGAACAGCCATATCCATTTCTTCTCCAGCACATATGTCATTTACTCTGCCATCCTTGGGCCTTGGAGCAGAGGGAGCTGACATTTCATATAACAAATGTCTTAGGGCTTTGATGTGCTGTTTCAGGGATTAATTCTGACCTTAAAATCAGACAGAAACACAGTCTGCAAATAAATGAGGCATTAGGGCCACTGACTCACCTACTCCATTTGTAGATTTTTAGATTCCAGTGGAAGATGTAAACAAAAGACCACCCATCTTGCCTCTTCTCTCCACTACCCGCCTTTTTGGCCCACTTTGAACACCCATGTTGAGTCATCAAGAAACAGGTTCCAAAGAGATGGTCTACTTTAGGGGACATTACTTTTGCAACAGAACCATTCCCTCACCAATGTTTTCCAGGGCCAGGCCACTGCTGATCTAATACAGTGCTTCTCAAACTATCTGTAACAAAATCCTGGGGCGGGGGTGGGGGGTGGTTTTCAAATCACTGTGAACCAATGAGTGGTCCAAATGCGTATGGCTAGTACATAGCTCATGCCACACATGACACGCCACACAAGTTCAACAACACTCAAATGGGTCTATACCTTTTTCAATGAAAAGTCCACTAATTATGTGCTTGGATGACATGGCAGTGTCAAATTGCTATACAAGTTTCTAAAAGCTTATTCTCTACTTATCTTGTCTTGAACCAATAATGAAGATTTGGCAGACCAGTCCTGTTCTGAGGAGTTGCCACTCCAAGTAGTCTGTGAGCCAGCAGCATGGGCATTCGCCCCTCCCTGGGAACTGGTTAAAAATGTAGAACTCTGGCCCCACCCCAGACCTGTGAATTAAAATCTGCATTTTACCCAGTTCCCCAAGTGACTTGTATGCACACTAATGTTTGAGAAACACTGTTCTGAGGAATTCTTTGGGTTCTACTGAATTCCCCCAAAGTGGCTTGGACCCTCCTCAAACCCCTACTGCCACCCGTACTTTATGGACATCAGTGTCATCCTTGTAATCTTCACCTTCCCTCTGCCAGTCTTCAAACACTACATGCAGTGCCACTCTCCTCTTGTTTTATTACTTTCAGTAAGTGATAAGTACCTCTTTCCATTTCTAACACTGAAGATTCCTTGAGGGCAGAGACATGAATACTGTCTTCTGTAATTCTCTGTGTTTGCATTCTCTCTGCTTGCATCTACTGGGTACTTGAAAATATTTGGGTTGAGTTCAAAGGATTCAATTAATTATTATAATAGCTAGTGTTTACTGAACCTTATTATAATCCAGGTACTGGCTAACACATTTATATGCCTGATTTCCTTTGAAATTCTACAAGTGACCCTAGGAGGTAGATACTATTATCATCATCCCTATTTTATAGATGAAGAAATGGAGGATCACAGAATATAAGTAACTCGTTTAAGGCCACATAGCTAGGATGTGGAAGCATCAAGACTCAAATTCAAGCTGTTTGACTCTCAAACCCACACAGATCTGTGCCATCACCATACCCACCGGTTCTCATCCTCTAAGTGTGCCAGGATCTTCTCTAGCTCCCCCTTGCTTTCTGTGGCCATGCTGCACGGAGCCTGCTGTCCAAAGGCTGTCTCCCGGTCTGTAATGGGGCTGGAGTGCCGCAGCAGGTACTGGTCCTCATCTCTGCATGGGTGTGGGGAGAGGAAAAGGAGGTGGCCAGGCATTGAACCAAGAAACATCACAGGGCATGAGTTCTCAGCTTCCAGCTCAGGCCTCAGGATACATATGCTGGAAGATTCACTTCTAAGTCACATAGAAAGGGAAAGGCTATATATTCAGGTTTAAGAAGGATGAAAAAATAAGATGGCAGAGGTCATGGTTGAGGGTATAAGAGAGAGGGTTTTCAGGATGCTGGGGCTTCTGGGTTCTACCTAAAGCGCCCTGGGAAACAATGAGCAAATCATTTCCCATTCTGTGCTGTTCCCTGACCGTATCCTCCTTTGCTTCCTCACCCACCCAGGGGCTCACTGCCTAAGTCCCAATCAGGGTCAGCAGCTTCTAAGCCTCCTGAACATGCCAGGAATCTCCCTAGGAATAAAGGGCCCCTTCTCTGACCTATAGCACCAGGGAATCTCTCAAGTCACACTTCAGTTAAGTCCCTGATGTCTCCCCAGGATGTGGCACTAGATGGGGCTTTGGCATCTTGAGCATAGGATAATGATTCATTTCTGCAACTTTAAATGAGGGCATATTCTTCTTCCTTCAAAACTAGGCATAGAAAGATGGGAGCTTACAAGAGGAAGGGACCTGGGCAGATGGCAAATCCATCAATAGAGAGCTTCTATTACCAAATACTGTGCCCAGAAAGCAGCTTTCCTTCCTTGGGGCTTCTAGGACCCTAGCCACCATACTCCCCCCACCATCTTCAGGATATATCCTTCCCAAATTGTGGCAGGGGGATCCCAAAGAAAATTATTCCTGGAAAATAAGCAGCTGTGAAAACTTACATGCTGTCATCCGGGGACAGGCTGTCATTAAAGAAGGAACAATTTTGACTTTCCATCTCAGCAAGCCTGGGAAAAAGAGCAGGAACAGAAGGGAAAGCAGGATGTGGGGCCTGTTTTCATCTAGACTCTAATCCCACAGTGGGATCATTAGCTTTGATGGCTGCCCCAACTGCCCTTAAGTGTTGGGCATCATTGGCTGCCACATACCCCACAATGCACGTCCCTCTGGTCTTGACTCCATTCTCTTTGCCCTGACTGAAAACCCCATCCCCCTTAGACTCTTGAAAATCTCCCTCCTCCAAACCCAGTGGTACCTGCTGGCAAAATGCTCAATGCGGGAGTGTGTGTCAGCGTGTGGCAACATCGGGGAAGAAGCCAGCCTAGAAGAAAGCAGCAGACTCAGGCAGCCAAAGAATGGGTAGCTGAGCAGTCTGTTACCTTACAACAACCCTCCCCACCCCCTACCACCAAATTAGGGAGATGGGAAAGAGTTGATGGGAACAGGATACAGAGACTGGATTCTAATCTATTTCTCAGGCCAGATTCCTGTCAGGCACAAGCTGAACTTCTTGTTACTAGTCAGGTTTGCCTTGGAACATTCCTCTAGCCCATGTGGGACTCAGCCCCTACACAGCACATCCCCAGCTCAGCAAGGCCTGCAGCCTGTGCCCACCCACTGGTACTCACGTCTCACTGTAGTCAGCCTCCAGCACTGATTGCACAGGCAGATAACCTCGCTGAGGGTGTTTGCTGAAATAATGCTTTGAGCGGAATTTGTTCTTTAAAGTTGTGGCAAAGTCCCTCATGTTCTCACTGGATGTGGTCTAGGGGGAGACAGGGCAGAGGGACTCACCCTAATGGCTTCGAAGGTGCTCCCCTAGAGCAGGGAACATGACTGGTAATCTAATCTTAGCCCCACTCCCAGAAAAATGTCGAGAAGGGTACAATGCGAAACTGTGAACACTGGTTGCCTCTGGGAAGTTGGACTGGAGAAGTGGGAGCAAGGCTGAGGAGAGAGGGGGACTTTTATATTTTATACACCTCTATATTATTGGACTCTTTTACAGTAAGTATATATTTGTTAATGCAGGAGGTACAGCATTCTCAGTCTCTCATCTCCAGCCAGTTTTCCATGCATGATTTTTATAATGTTTATTTTCTTTTTTTTTGAGGGTATTTTTATTTTTTTAATGTTTATTTATTTTTGAAAGAGCATAAGCGGAGAAGGGGCAGAGAGAGACGGAGACACAGAATCCAAAGCAGGCTCCAGGCTCTGAGCTGTCAGCACAGAGCCTGACTTAGGGTGCAAATCTATAATGTTTATTTTCAAGTGATAATAAAATAAAAATAAAGGGCAAGCTCCCCGCTCCCACTGAGTCACACATGTTTCTGTGCCAACAGAATATGGAGAAAAGATGGTGATTTACAGGGATGGATTCTGGGGAAACAGGTTGAAAACTGGGGTGGTAGGGTGGGAGAAAGCAGTGGGGGGAGATGGCAATATACTTGGGACTTCAGGAGTATCCATGGGGCAGAAAGGGATAAAGGAGTTTGGGGAGTAGAGTTAGCTCAGGGAGCTAAGCATGGAGCTGTGCGTCCTGAATACAGCATAGGAGAAATTCTATGAGTGGAGTTCAGGAATGCTGACCCACCTGGACACAGGTGGCAATGAAGGGCACAGTTTCCAATGAAAACCAAGTGGAATCTGGGGACCCAGGTAAAGAACATACCCTTTCTAACCTCCAAGAGACTGAGTAATTTGAGCACAAACCTTGGTATTGACTAGAAGGTATGGAAGAAATGACAAAGTAGCAGGTAAAGACTAGGTGACAGAGCAATTCGGGAAATTACGTAGGAAAAATTAAATAAGCAATGGAAGTCTAGTTGCCGGGAACTTCCTTTCTCTCTATTTTTTCCTGAAACTTTTCCCTGAAGGAAAATAGTGAATGCCTTTTTTTTTTTTTTTTTTTTTTTTTT